AGCTACGTTTTTTGTGTTGTTTTTTTTTCAAAAATGTTGTTATTGTGGAGTTTTAGGGATGAAACTATCATATAAAAGACAATTGCAAAGGGAATTGGCAAGCCAACTCACCAACTTATCTAATGATAGGACGGGTTTAACTTTTTGACTTGTTTGAGAAGTTCAATTAGTTCGATTTAGTCCAAATTTGGTGAGCCAGCAACATAACAAATAAAAATGAGTCAGGTTGAACCATTTTGTGAGTTCTAAATTCAAGTTGCTAAAAATTAAGATTTAAGTAAGTTTTATAATTGATTTTAGTATAAAATTAAAAAATAAGTTTATTGAATATAACAAAAGTAAAATAGTAAAATTTAACCGGTACATATCTATTAGGTCTATTTTATTATACATGCCAAATATTCGATAAAACACGCAAAAAAAGTTAAACAATTTATTTTCAAAAATCAATTACAAAAATTTCAAAACTAAATTATTTTTAATCTAGAAAAAAATAAGCTTAAAAACTAAAGGAGTTCTAAACACAAAAACGTATAAAAGGAAAAGACAAAAGAAGTAGCATGAATTTTTTGAGTTTTTTCCCGTTCCCCATCCACTTAGCAAACTAAAGGAGTACAATTTTTGAGCTCGCAAATCCAAAAAAATAATTGACCCAAAAATCTCCATAAATCAAGAACCGGTGTGTGAGCTTTTGATTTTTTTTTTCTTTTTATGTAATTTGAACTTGTATTCACTCTCTTTTGAATCCTTACAATTGTTTAATATTATAAAACAACCATTTTATATTTTAAAAAATTTTAAAAAATAATATTCCATTAATTTTAGAAAAAACAACAAAATGTAACTTAATTTTGGAAGAAAGAAGAGTGTTGGGCATATTGGTGCTTATCTGATGATGAAAATATGCTCATTTACTAAAACAACTGTACTTAATATTTAACTCCCTATTCCCCTCCTTGCGACAGTGTAGAACACGCGCAAGCAATTTGACATGCAATGTAAACCACTCCTGTTTACTGCGCGTGGGCATGATTGTGCTGTGCATTTATTCTTAAAACCTCTGAAGGAGACGAGTTTCTTCTAACGCATGGCCACTCCAAATTCGGTGCTTTCATCAATTACACCGTTCACTAGCTTCGTTCTTCCAGTTCGCCTAAAAATCAAGGGTTAGTTTCCTTTCGATTCATTTCGTTCCATTCTTTCGTTGCTTCCGAATTATTTTGTGAGGATTTTTGGAAAAATTAAATCTTTATAAATAATGGCTCTTGTGAAAACTAAGCAAAATTTACAGATTTGAGGGTTCTTAAAATTGAGAACTTGAACTTCTGTTATCTTTGTTGTTTTATCGATGATTGGACTGTTGTTTTTTTTTAATGCTATTGTGATGGGAATATATTAATGAGAGATAAGATAGAATCTGAATTTCATGATTTCATTTAATTTATCATGGTAAATGTTGTGGATTGTGTTTTATTTGTGGCTGATGTTTAGTGATTTCTGTGTTCTATGGGTTCAATTTTAGTTTCATATTNTCTCGATTTGGATTCGTTCCGGGGGTGATTGGGTGCATTCTAATGGGTTGTTGCTACCAAATAGAGAGATGGTGAATCAGATATTGTCATACATATATTAATCAAGTTTTTACTTTTTACTGTAATTATGTGCAGCTCAAAGGGATGAGATAATTGTGGAGTTGTACCAAGATATTATCATGGAAATTCTGTCATGGCTTGAAAGATCTCCTACTATTCAAGTACGTTTCAAAAGGGTGAAACCAACTTGTCCCCGATTCGGTTTTGCAGTGCGGTGGCTTTGGTTTCGCAAAGGAGATGACAGCAAAGATGAACAGGCAGTAACGATTTAGGGTTGGAAGGATTTTCAAATTGGTTCTCTCGTGGATTTTCTGAGTGCAGGCCATTTTTCTCACTTTTTTCTGCTTACATTATTTTTTTATTTTTTTTTAATTTATTAAATTCCATGTCATTAATGACAGTATATTATTTTTAATAAAATATCCACCTCAGTATATCCATTTCAGCACATTTTAACGCCGTTTGTGACAACTTAACGGTTATGGCAAAATTGGTTTATTTTTACAAATATTTGGACCCAATTGAGATATTTTGTAAATATATGGACCCAATTGAGACAGTTGAAAATATGATGACCTATTTGAGATTTCTATATAAACACGAGGACCATCCGATGGTTTAAACCAAGTTAAAATTATGGTAGTTATTCATGTTTTTTTAGGGTTTAAGGTCTTTTCCAACTTTGGGTGGTTGGATTACAAAATTAGGCATTCCAAAGGATATTGACGCTCCTTCCACCACCTCATCTTCTCCTTATATCTTCCCAATTTTTTTTAAATTCTAAATTTACTCTTTTTACTTTTACCAATTTTACTTTTTAGTTTTTAAAACCCTACTCCTAATTCCCTCTCACTTTCACTTTTCCTTTCACTTTCAACAGCAAACCCCCCAGTGTCACTTTCTCTCTTTTTCTTAATTTTCACTTCTGTTAACACAACATTTTCCATTTCCTTTCAAATTACACGAGATTCATCGAACACCTAGTGATCATTTTTGAAGAAAAATTCAGCTCATGCGGCCTTTGATTTACAACGACAAGGGTTATTATCTCCTGGTGGTTCAGAGTTTCAAGTTTAAGCATAAATTTTCAAGTTTGGTTATTTGAAGATAAGGAAGTGGGGAAGAAATTTTTAGCAGATTATATTATGAAATCATGATACTTCAAAACTCATCAAAATTTATAAATGTTTTAAATTTATACCATGGGAATATTTTTTTGTCAAATTTTGTGTTAACGGAAGTGAAAATTAAGAGAAAGTGACAGTGGGGGGTGGAGGCTTGCTGCTAAGAGTGAAAGAAAAAGTGAAAGTGAGAGGAAATTGGGAGTAGGGTTTTAAAAAATAAAAAGTAAAATTGGTAAAAATAAAAAGTAAAAAAGGTAAATTTGAAATTTAAAAAAATTAGGGAGATGTAGAAAGAAGATGGAGTGGTGGAGGGAGCATCACTCTCCAAAGGATATTGCAAAGGGAAGCACAATTTTGAAGCTTAGAGTAGTTGTTTGGACACCTTGAAAGAGAGTTCATCTCCTTTCGACTCCATTTTTTCCCTTGTTCTTCTTCCATTTTGTATGTTATTCTTAATGGAAAGTTAAACCTATTTGTTGGGGGTTAAACCTAATTAACTAAACTTTCATCAGGAATTTGTATTGTTAATATATATGTTTTCCATTTTAATATTAACATTTTTTTCTTTGCTTAAATACTTTTTGGACTTGATTACACATAGCTATAAATCCTAATGTAGCTTATATCCAGGGACGAAATGTAATTATTTTTTATTAAGGACTTAAGAGATTGAAACTTAATAAAAAATACTGGTTTAAGTAAGGATGATAAATAAGACAGACCTGACAACCCATTCAAAAAAAAAAAAAACAAGTTAGGACAGAGATTTTAACTTATATAAGCCTAGTCTACCAAACCCATCACCTTGTCAAGTCAGCCAGCAGGTCAATCTGAACTAACCCTCAACCCATGTTTTAAGTAAAGAACGTTATATTGTGCATTGTTGTTGTGTTTTTTTGTTGTACTTCATCTTTAGTTGTATTGCTACTACTCTAATCTCACTTTCAAAGACAAAAAAACACTCACTCACAATCCTAAAGCCCAAAATGCTTCCAACCACAACGAGTCCATGATGCCATCACCAACCTTGTTCAATTTTGCCATGTATCAGTCTCTTCTACAATTTTATTCGATGTCTTCATCTTCATTGTCAACAGAGTTTGTTAATTAATCATTCCTATGGTTGTAATTTAGAATTTGGATTGAAAATTAGGGAGTTTGGGAATTATTGAACAATCTCATTTTATTTCAATAAGTCTTGAGTGAGTTGTAGCTTAGGTGAATGATTTTGAGTTTCAAATTTCATTTTAATTTAAACAAGCTACGTTTTTTGTGTTGTTTTTTTTTCAAAAATGTTGTTATTGTGGAGTTTTAGGGATGAAACTATCATATAAAAGACAATTGCAAAGGGAATTGGCAAGCCAACTCACCAACTTATCTAATGATAGGACGGGTTTAACTTTTTGACTTGTTTGAGAAGTTCAATTAGTTCGATTTAGTCCAAATTTGGTGAGCCAGCAACATAACAAATAAAAATGAGTCAGGTTGAACCATTTTGTGAGTTCTAAATTCAAGTTGCTAAAAATTAAGATTTAAGTAAGTTTTATAATTGATTTTAGTATAAAATTAAAAAATAAGTTTATTGAATATAACAAAAGTAAAATAGTAAAATTTAACCGGTACATATCTATTAGGTCTATTTTATTATACATGCCAAATATTCGATAAAACACGCAAAAAAAGTTAAACAATTTATTTTCAAAAATCAATTACAAAAATTTCAAAACTAAATTATTTTTAATCTAGAAAAAAATAAGCTTAAAAACTAAAGGAGTTCTAAACACAAAAACGTATAAAAGGAAAAGACAAAAGAAGTAGCATGAATTTTTTGAGTTTTTTCCCGTTCCCCATCCACTTAGCAAACTAAAGGAGTACAATTTTTGAGCTCGCAAATCCAAAAAAATAATTGACCCAAAAATCTCCATAAATCAAGAACCGGTGTGTGAGCTTTTGATTTTTTTTTTCTTTTTATGTAATTTGAACTTGTATTCACTCTCTTTTGAATCCTTACAATTGTTTAATATTATAAAACAACCATTTTATATTTTAAAAAATTTTAAAAAATAATATTCCATTAATTTTAGAAAAAACAACAAAATGTAACTTAATTTTGGAAGAAAGAAGAGTGTTGGGCATATTGGTGCTTATCTGATGATGAAAATATGCTCATTTACTAAAACAACTGTACTTAATATTTAACTCCCTATTCCCCTCCTTGCGACAGTGTAGAACACGCGCAAGCAATTTGACATGCAATGTAAACCACTCCTGTTTACTGCGCGTGGGCATGATTGTGCTGTGCATTTATTCTTAAAACCTCTGAAGGAGACGAGTTTCTTCTAACGCATGGCCACTCCAAATTCGGTGCTTTCATCAATTACACCGTTCACTAGCTTCGTTCTTCCAGTTCGCCTAAAAATCAAGGGTTAGTTTCCTTTCGATTCATTTCGTTCCATTCTTTCGTTGCTTCCGAATTATTTTGTGAGGATTTTTGGAAAAATTAAATCTTTATAAATAATGGCTCTTGTGAAAACTAAGCAAAATTTACAGATTTGAGGGTTCTTAAAATTGAGAACTTGAACTTCTGTTATCTTTGTTGTTTTATCGATGATTGGACTGTTGTTTTTTTTTAATGCTATTGTGATGGGAATATATTAATGAGAGATAAGATAGAATCTGAATTTCATGATTTCATTTAATTTATCATGGTAAATGTTGTGGATTGTGTTTTATTTGTGGCTGATGTTTAGTGATTTCTGTGTTCTATGGGTTCAATTTTAGTTTCATATTATTATTATTATTTTGCATGTACTTCTTTACTGAGAATGTGTTGAGCCCTTTTGGACTGTTTATCTTACCAGGGTAAAAGGAAATTTTGGACCCTTTTCCAACATTTGCCCCCAAATTCCCTAATCCCCACACAGAAAAATAGTTACCGCAGTTCGTTATAAACTTGGTGATTTAACTTATACTGCAATGACATTCAGACAACTGGAGATAATAATTGAATACTGTCCTTGAACTTTAAATCTACAACGGTTCATGCGAACTTCACCAACTTCACGACGCCGCCAAGATATTCCATGATAAATTTTTTAATGCATTTTCATTTGCATAGTTATGAAATTGATTGATTTCCTTCCAAGAACATTTGTACATACAGAAAGTGTTGTATTGTAATGTCTGTTACATTTTCAAAATTTGAGGGACCACAACTACTTTAGTTATTCGTAAGATATAAGAATGGTACTGATTGAAAACTTAGTGTTTATGGTCATTAAATTTTAATCTTTTTGGTACTTTTGTCTTCTGATCAGGTTGTTTGGATTTAATTCTATTTATTACGGGAAGTTTGTTGACTTGATTTAATTCAACCTTGTGAGGTGCATGACATTGCTCCACTTATCCTTGTTTATGTTCTTAGCTTTTCTGTCTTATTAACAGAGTGAAACAATGGGTGATGCAATTGATTTGACCGGGGATGGAGGAGTCATTAAGACCATTTTGAGAAAAAGCAAAACCGATGCTGTTGGTCCTACAGAAAATTTTCCTCTTGTTGATGGTATGTTTTTACTAGCACGGTGAATATTTTGTAACTTGTCTAGTAATGGACTATAGTACATGCCAGTCTCAAAGCAAGATGCAATTATACTCAACACCTTTAGATTTTGGCTGCACAGCCGTCATATTTTTGTGATTTTTATCTTGGAAATTGACTCTTGGCTTTTAAGGTGCTGTAGAAGTCATTCCATCTATTAGTTGTCTATAAATCTTCTTATTAGAATAAAAATGAGCATCTCTAGTATCTTATGCTTTAACCAGTCTTATAATAGTATTTTTGAAAGCTTATCATATGGTCTTCACGCATGATTTCAATTCTAAAATACATGGGAACACATACATGACACTTGCTATAACTTACTTGCATGTTAAAATTTCCCCTTATATGTGAAAATGTAATTATCTTCACGAGTATCTCTGTGTGAAGGTCCATCTATTTGAGAGTGTTATAGAAATATCATGTTGGACTATTATACAATGGGTTGGAATTGCAAGATATTAGGACACTTTTTAAGGAAAAGTTTAGATATTAAGGCCTAATTTGGATTAGTCTTTAGCTTAGGGTGAGTTTTCCATTCAGATATAAGGAGGTTCTCTGTTATTGTGAATTGAGTGTATAATCACACTTGTAAACCCTTTATTTATTATCAACGGTACATAATTCCCTAATTACTAGATCAAATCACATCTTTTGTGTTCCTCCTCAAGCTGGAGAATACATGTAGTCTAAGTTGTCACAAATGTGGTCAATACGAGAACGCTTCAGGGATTTAGTGAGCATGTATGCAAGTTGGTCATTGTGTTTAGTCCGCTCATGGAATGTGAATGGCAACATCATTGTCACATTAGTTGAGTATCTGATGACAATATTCATAAGTGGGCCTTTTATATGTCGGCGAACTTGTCCAATCAGCATCATAATTACAAAGAATTTTGGAATTTCCTTTAATTGCATATTTTAAATCACAACCTGGTGCATTCTTGATGAACGAAGAATGTGTATCACAACTTTCAATGACTATCAAATGGGTCTTTAAGCACACACATTGATTTTGTTGCTAACAAAATTGCCTACGTGGCTTCTAGAAGGAATGTGGGGATCTTTCACTTTGGGGGAGAGAAGAGAGGATATAGGTTTTTGGTTTTCGTCTGCCGGAGGAGGGAAAGATTGTGGCTGAGCTGGGAATTGGGAAGAGGATTGTCATTACCCTCTTGTTTTGGGACTCAGGAATGATATCAGTAACTTTTTTTCCATTCCATCCATTTTCTTTGTTGTTACCTATCAGTGACAATGAGGTAATTAAGTTTGCCTACTAGACAATATCTTCTAGGGTCTTTCAATGGCCTCTTGACTCGGAAGAAGGTTCAAATTCAGAATCATAGGACTATCACTAAGGTGACAATCAATCATACCACGCTCAATCAAAATGTCTAGAGCATACTTTTGCTAGGAAATGACAATATCATGCGAGGACTGTGCAACTTTGACGCCAAGAAAGTACACAAGTGGACCCAAGTGCTTGATGTAAAACTAACTGTGAAGGTGAGATTTTGAGTTGAAGAATGTCATAGGATTCATTGCTAGTGATGACAATGTCATCAACATATACAACAAGATAGTTGAACATGACAAATAGAGAATAAAGTGAAAAAGCTGAGTGATCTGTACTCAACAAGTCGTAGTCCTACAAAACTCAAGCAAAAGTGAGTTGAAACATCGCTGGAATTGACATCTCATTCAAAGAGAAAGATATCAAATATTTGGAGTTCCTTTTTGTATATTATACGGATGATCCGTCTGCAAGGACCATGATTGGGAATTTTTCGATCATCTTTCCCCGAGAAAGAGGCAATACATGAATCACTAGAGACTCTAAAATTGGGTGGATGATCCATATACACTTATTCTTACAACTCACCATGGAAATAGACATTTTTTATGTCCATATGGTGAAGAGATCAATGGTGGATCAAGGCCACGACAAGGAAAAGTTGGACAAAGGTCATTTTGTCCACAGGAGAAAAAGTGTCACCATAATCTTGACAAGAAATTACGGAGCATAAAGGAATGCTAAAGTGAAGAAGAAAAGTGTAAGTTGTTTCCATCAAGTACTGGTTTTTGTGCTCTGCAACATCACTGCGGTGTGAGGGCAAATGATGTTTGATTAAGAATCCCCTGTGAGTTTAGAAAAGACTGAGATTAGGAAGATAAATATTCTCTTGCATTATCAATTTGTAAAATTTTAATTTTGCTATCAAACTGAGTTTCAATTTTATCATAAAACCTTTGAAAAATAGAGGAAAAATCAAAGTGATTCTTCATTTGAAAAACTTAAGCACAACAAAAGAAATCTTATATAAAAGTTACAGAATAAAATATCTTAATGTGGATCAGATGCGACTAAACCCCAAATATCAGAGTGAAAGTAAAGCAAATGGTGACATAACATGCTTATTGGCACAAGGACCATGACTAGTATGGGTATGTTTTATCTAGTTGACGCTACTCACACTGAAAAGACTTAACGGTTGAAAAACTAAGAACAAGTAAACCCAATTTTTCCAAACTCAGGTGTCCAAGGTGGTTGATGTGCAAGAGTTGAACTGGTAGAAGAGACATAGACCACCAAAGGGCTAAAGATGATATAATTCTTCATACTCAATGTGTCAATCTTATAAAAGAACAAAACATTAACAAACAGGACAGAATTATCAAGAGTGCGAGTAAGTTTACTGATAGAGATTAGGTTAAATGGACATCTTGGTATTAGTAAGAAAAAGTTTAGAGAATGTTGAGGAAGAGAGTGGGTTCATCCGATGCCTCGAACTTTAATTTGAGACTCAGTCTACAATAGTAACAGAAGGCAAGGAGACCAAAAAGGTCAAGGATGAAAAAAAGAGATTGGTTACTAGTCATATCATCTAAGGCATGGGAATCAAGTATCTAAGGTCCAAGAAATAAGTTGAGAAACAAAAGCTATAGGAGTACTAGATTGAACCACAAGTGATGCAGGTTGGTGGTATGCTTGGTGGAGATTGAGAAGTTCATGATACCCAATGGCAGAAAGTGTGATATCTAAAGCAGGAGTAATGGTTTGAGCTACATTAGCCAGCTGAGACTGTTGGAGAGTTATGGCGTGACATTCTTCTTCAACATGACCCCAACAATTGCAGTAGTTGCAACAGGGATGGTCATGACCGCCACCATGTCCACTGCAACCACCATGATGAGAGGAGTGAGAGACTAGAGCTTAGGAATACATGTTAGATGTTGAGGTTCTTTCAAAAGTATAAGGCGCGGAGACAGCAACAACTGCTTCTGAATCAGATTGTTTTGGGAACATTTGAGCTCAAGAGAATTTGATTACAATAGGGAACAATAAAAAGTTTCTCTGTTATGAATTGTGTGTATGTAAATTCTTTATTGAGTAAATCCTTTATTTATAATCATTTAAAGTATAATATGGGAAAACCTAAAGAAGAATATTCCTAATTTTCAGTTCCACATGTTCGATTTCTAAGGTACAAAGCAACTTACAAATTGATATGTACTTATGGATATTGGGGAATATAAAGGAGTGTGTTTTTTTAATAAGGCTTAAGTGTGCAAGTTAATTTGAACTTGTGCAAGCAGCTTGATTCATTTTTCACCTTGTTTAATTTTTTTGGCCTATGAAGTTTATCTAATCTGACCATAAGTTTTAATTCTCTAAATTGGATGTGTTTGAAGTGTGTTTGCATGAAATGCTTGATTTTACTGATTCTCATCCAAATGTTGTTTGTGCTAATCAGTTCACTATGAAGGCACACTTGCTGATACCGGTGAAGTTTTTGACACAACACACGAAGATAACACTATCTTCTCTTTTGAGCTTGGGAAGGGCAGTGTTATCAAGGCTTGGGAGATTGCAGTCAAAACCATGAAGGTCTAAGAAAGCATACTTTTGATGAAACTGTATTTAGATAATGGTTTTGATCCTGATATTTATCTGCTAATCTTGCTAGGTCGGAGAAGTTGCAAAAATAACTTGCAAGCCAGAATATGCATATGGCAGTGCGGGATCTCCTCCAGATATTCCTCCAGAGTACTATTCTCATGCCACAGTTATTGTTAGTAAACATAATAATTGTTAAACAAAAAAGTTTAAGAATGAAAGATGTATCATAGAAATATGAGAAAGCTGAGAAGAGGCCATTTGTCAATACATTTTTACCCTTTAAAAGGTATGAACGAAAAAACAATCTGGGATACAAATCTACTAGTGTTCCAATTGTTTTCAATTGCTCAATTATCATGTCATGAAATCAGCCTTTGTGGTATATTTGGTAGGTGAGGAATAAGTTGTAGTGTTTAAAAGAAGAGAAATAAGATGGAAATAATTTTAAAATGTTGAGATCTACCGAACTAATTATCACTTATTTCTACTCATGTTTCTATTTCTCTTATCATCTATTCTCTATATCTCTTCAACTAAACATATTTTTATTTTTTATTTTTTATTTTATATCTAACTTATTTCTAGTCTTTTTTTTTCTATCCACTCTATTTCTCTCCTCCCAAGGCTTCCTTCTCTTGGATGGTGGGTCCAACGGTTACCTAGTCCTATGTGCAGAGAGTTTTGAAGCACCAAACCTTTAAATAATTAATTGATGAAATCATGATGTATTCCCTTGAAGCTTGCTTTGTTCCCCATTCTACTAATCCACTTTCACTTTAGTCACAAGAAGTTGCATCTACCGGTGACTTGAAATTTATAATTTTTCAATTTCCTTGCAGAGCAACACTTGTTTTTGAAGTTGAGTTAGTTGCCTGTCGGCCAAGGAAGGGTTCCAGTTTGGGAAGTGTTTCAGAGGAGAGGGCAAGGCTTGAGTAAGCAACTTTTTTTTAACATTTTACCAAATACATGTGCTTCTTTTTGTTTTTTTTGTCTCGTTTCACTACAAAATAATAACAATATGATATCTTGTGATGGAAAAAACAGAGAACTGAAGAAGCAGAGAGAGCTAGCTGCTGCTGTCAAAGAAGAAGAGAAGAAGAAGAGAGAAGAAGCAAAAGCAGCTGCTGCTGCACGTCTGCAAGCAAAGTTAGAAGCCAAAAAAGGTCAAGGAAAGGGTAAAGGTAAAGCAAAGTAGGGTCCCTTAAACATCTACACAACTTGATATATTTTGATGACAATCAAATCAAATAGTTATGTATTATCTACTATTCAGCATCTCACTTCCCCTTTGGCTCATCCCAAACGATGTATAAAATGATTGGCTTTGTCCATCCAGATAACATAAATATGATGTTTGGTAAGATACTACATAATCAGCAGCTAGCAACAACATTTTCCCGGGTTTTTGTCTAATTATATAGACACCCTCTTTCATTCCTTCTGAATGCAGGCTACAGCCACATTGAAGGTAGAGACGTAGCTAAGTTATTCAGTGAGGTGAACTTAACATGTGTAGATATTAAGAAGTGTTAGTGAGTTAAAAATGATTCAAAAATATAAAATCATTAAACAAAATATGAAACCTACCTTTTCTTTTGTGATTTTAAGTAATGTTAACCAATAAAAAGAAGTGTGTTCATAAGATTAATGCATTCTTAGAATTTTATTTTCTAAATATCTTTCTATAACAAATTTAACACTTCCAAAAAGATAAATTCAGACTCAATTTTACTCTATCCTTGTATTCTTATCCCGTAATGATAAATGCCATGTTATCTTTTTCCGAAAGGTTATTTTGGAAATAGTTTATCATCTAAAGGAATTTTTTTTTTATAGAAAAATGTATTTAAAAATGAATTCTAAATGATTTCCAGAAACACATTTCATAACTATAAATCTCATTCTAAATGGTCTTTCGAGAAGTGTTATCCTTTTTTTTTTTGTAGAAAGAGAGTGCTAAATTCATTTTCAAATGGTATTTTTTGTAATGGGTAAAATTTATGCAACAAAATTTAAAGTTCATTTTTAATGTGTTTGGATAGGAATATATATATAACTTTCTTAGAATTAAATGTACTAAATTTCAATTTATTTTTATTTTAAATTAATTCATTTTATAAAATGTTTCATTGAGATAAAATAATTCAAATTTTTTATTTATTTTTTAATTATTTCAATTAGACTTAATTAAATTTCAAGTTTTTCATAAATTTATATATTTTTATTTGAATGCATATTACTTTTTTTTGTCCATTAATTAATAAAACAAATTACATTTTTTAATTGAGTCTTTATGGTTTAATGTTTTTGTTAAATTATTGTCTCATCATTTTCCTTGTTTCCATGTTAAAAAATGCGGAGTTATGTTAATAGAGAATTATATTGTGATTAATGTAAAATGAAAAAGGTTTTAATTGAATGTTTGTTAGGTAACGATGATGGTTTTGTCACTGGTGAAACAGTCCAGTGATTATGATAGATGATGAAGAGAAAGGCAAATGTGAACTTACCTTTTGACAAATGCCACCTTAACAGATTTTTTACTGACATTGACCAAAAATCTCTTGTCAAAGTTTGTGGAAACTTTTTCCATTAAACAATATAAAAATAAACTCAACTAACATTGGAAAAAAAATTCATTGAGAATATTAATAAAAGACAATTTCCACAAACATCAAACAAAAAATAACAACAAAAAAATTAGCATTTATCGGACAATAATTTTATCAACATTAACCTAGAAAGATCTAGTTAAAGTTGACATAGAAAAACGTTAGCATGCATAAATGAAAAATAATCTCAACAAAATCAACTCAAAATATAATTTTTATCAACTTCAATTGAAATATAATGACTTACATTTGTTTATCTTATCATCGTTAAGAACAAAACAACTCTAGATAGTATTCAATAAAACTCCCAACAAAGAAAATAAAAAATAATCTATTAATGTTTATTAATAACGTTGAACAAGTCCAAATGAAAAAATTATTTCTAACATTAGCTAAAAAATAATCACAATAAATTTTAATTTAACAGAAAATTTTACCAACTTTAATAAAATAAATAACCACAACCAAATTTTAATTTAAAAGAAAACTTGACCAACATTAGTAAAAAAAAAAGTGATTGAGCCGATGAAGCAAGTAATTTCTGAATCAAAAGACAGTAGTCGACACCCCAATAAAGCCAACAAAATACCAAGAGAATAAAGAAAGAAAAATTTTAAATGTATACTTTAGAGGTTATTTTAAATAATTAAATTATTCTCACAATTCTAAAATTCATTAATCTTTTTATATTTTTCTTGAAGAATTTTAAAAACTCTATAAAACTAATCACCTCTAAAAGTTATCTGGAGAAAAAAAAAAGTCATTTTCTTTTGAAGGGTCCATGCAGAGGTTCCTTTGTAGGAAGGAAGAAATTACCTCGAACTAAGCATGGCTGGCTGAACAGATGACTTAGTCTGAGTTCTCAATTGGCTAATTTTTAGAAGATTTTTGTTATTTACATTTATGATTAATCCTAAATAATATTATTATTATTTATCAATTATACCCCCACTATCACTTTATATTTCATTAGTTTATATACATAATTTATTGCGATACAGAAAGAAGAAAAATCTAATAACTATTCTATTAGAAATTAAAAAAAAAATATATTTTCTGTTGGGCATAGATTAGAGAAATAGGATGAATAAAACTAAAAAAGCATGAATACAAACAAATAGAAGTTAAAGATCGTCACTTTTAAAATTAAAAAAATTCTATCTTGTTTCTTCATTCTTGAAACTCACCAGTTGAACAAATGATCCATTAAACGCGGTTGAATTGATAAATAAGCACTGCCACAAAAAAAGGGAAGGGAAATGGTAGCAGTGAAGAAAAATTTGTGCAGATGGCGCTGGGTTAAGCACAGCAGCCGAAGAAATATAAACTGAATAGTTGTTACACGGTATTCTGCCGATCTTCTCATCCCTAAACGTCAGGGTAATTACACCAATACTGGTCAAGACCTACTAATTTTGATACATCATCACACTAAGTTATAGTTGCAGATTTTAATCACACGTCCATAAATAAAAATTAGACGATATATTCAAACCATGTCCGCGATATCATTATGTCCATTGTCACTCCACCCAGATCCAGCTCGAAATTTACATACAGGGCATGTCCCTTGTTGACGCAGCCAAGGATCGATGCAACTAGCGTGAAACTTCAAAAAAGTAAAAACATAAGGTCTCAGAATCAATCATTTAATCGAGATTAATAGATTTCAACCACATTTTTACATAGAGAGTGCTGGTAGTTTAGATTTTCCTTCTCATAATTTCAAAGTGAAACTATCCTTTTTTACTTCTAAATATCAGACAATCAGATGACAACAGCAGATATGAAGTGACACAATGAATCATCAAGCAACATGAAAAGCTTGTAGACCAAAGGTCACAGATTAGCAAGCTATGAAACAAACCTGATGCAAGCAAGGTAAGCTACGCAGTACTTCACCAACATTAACTTGCTCCAAGCATACACTGCAAGTGAGTTCATCGTCAGAGGCTTTCATGCTCCCAACAGCCCCTGAATTATCTTGCTTCTTCTGCCACAAATCAAAAGGAATGAAACATGCAGATCAACGTAGCAGCTCAGAAAACAAAAATTATACAATTTGAGTGAGAGGAAAAGATAGCAATATAGAAGAACAATAATAACCATGTCTTTGCCCTTGAGTGAGATTGGCTACATCCACCAAAAATGCCATAATGTTTTATAGTGAATCGTGTATGTACTCTTAGACAAACCACGGACTTACAATGTAGACGTTGCATATTCATACGATCATTTAGTCATTTAAATCACCCAAAAGAATTGCAATGAATAGACAAATAAAAATTATGTAAAGTGATACAACAGTAGACACAGAATAATACATTAGCATGAGGGACACAGCACTTTCCCATACTGTCAAGAATAGCATAGGAATATTACAAGAAAAACATGAAGAAAAATGCATGCAAGGAATCAATGAAGTTATCATGAGAAACTTTGTAATCACTTGTTTAGACCACATAGATTGAGGAAAAAATAAGGCCATAATGTAGACAATACCTCAGCAGAAGTGGATGATGATGCTTGTTGCATTGATGAACCACCACTGTAAGCAAAAGCAGCTTCTTGTCAAATGATCAAATACTAAATTAATTTACTTTGCACATATACGCTATTTCTAAATGAAGGTGTAAATTCCCATTTCAATTAGAATTTCAAGTTAATACCAATAACTGGCAGACAAAATTTTACAGGACAGGACGTTTTCACATGTCAACAATTAATAAAGAAAGTATAGTTAAAGGTTGCCTTCGTAAATCATATAAAATATGGTAATACACAGTAATCATGAGCACGCCAAATAGCATGGCAGTAAGAAAACCAGTGCTTCCATGTCATCATTCAGAATATAAAATTCACACCAAAACTATCATAATTTCAACATGGCATTTTTTTATATTATCAATACACTCTTACCCTCAAATGTATCCAAATATTTGTACTAATATTTGATATTTGATATTTAATTAATAATATGAAAATGATGAGCAGTATTTTTTTGCCGCATCACCCAGACATGAGCTGCTGGTATAAAATATTAATATCCATTTAAAAGGAGAACATACAACAGATCTGATTGATTAATTACCTCTGGGGACCAGCAACCTTATATTTGTGGACCGGAAGAGCATTTATCTCTTCCTCGGTCATGGAAGCTGCCGTAGAAACATTATCTGAATCTAAAGCTCTTAAAGTTTCATAATCTGACATTGGAAAGAAAAATATGTAATCAATATACTATATGAAACATGCGAAGAGATTAGAAAACAAAAATTATATATAGTAGAAATCATTTTCAGAAAATTCTAAAAAATTATGAGAAACAAAGTAGCAATTTACATCACAAAAGACTGAAAATAACTACAAACCAAGATCATCAAACTCCCGGTCAAGAAGAGCAAGCTGAAGTCTGAGACCCTGCAGACGCCCTCGACTTGCAAGTGCTATCGATGGTGGCATATGCAACCTCAGTTCCGTGTGGCCAAGAATGCCACTGGCTGCTGCTGCATGAGCTTGGGCCTGTGCTTGAAGCTGTTGACATGTTGCATACATCCTCAACATTGTTGCCATCAAGAAAACACCGAGCACCAGCCATAGCTACAAATAGAAATAAGACCTTATAAACCACATTAATAAATTAATGCCATTTCTTCATTGAAAAACTTGCATTCCTACTTTACATACTACAGGACCTTACCAGAAAATTTGGGGACATCTGGTGAGAGTTCAGTATCATGAATAACAGAAGGACTGAAACATATAAACAATAAGACATAAATGGGACATTGAAAGAAAATATA